ACTTTCATCTTTTGAGTCATCTCCTCCGATCGCGATTTTTCCTCTTTCAACTCTTGTCTCAGCTCGGCTAGTTCCATTTTCTTCTTTTCGTTCTTGTCTAGCAGGGTCCCGAGGTTGTTGATAAGTGCTCCTGCGTTCCTTGTCTTTGTGTCTAGCTCGTCCTCTAGAGTAGATAGTTTATCTTTTAGTTTTTCCATACTAGAGAAGGCTGCTTTCAATTCGTCATCGCCCAACTTGATTTTTTCCTTTAAAAGTGCGATTTCTTTCTGGTCGTCTTCGCTTTTGTGAGCGGCTTCCTCAATCTGCTGGATCCAGTCAGCCTGGGCTTCCTCCTGCTGACTTTTAGCTTGTTCCTTGAGTACGGATATCTCCTTTTGGCACTCCTCATTTTCCTTTTCCAGTTTTGCAACTTGTTCTGCTCGTTCGAGTTCGAGATTGTCGAGTTGTTTCTGCAACTGCTGGCATCGGACTGCCAGTGTTGTTTCCTCATCGATACTCTGTTTGCTCTCGAGCTTGACTAAGTGTTCCTCCATGTTCTTTATACTGGTGTTTGTGAATGTCATTAGGCTTTTACTAGTCTCAGCACCGCTTCTGCTCTCACATCATGTTCTTGTTTTGAGCCTCTCTCTAGCCATTGGAATCGTCGTGCTCTTGGAATAAGTCCGGCCTGAACTTGGCGGTCGGATTCTATCTGAGAGGATATACCATGCTCCTAGTCGTAATATCTTTTCCTTTGTCAGCATTGCGTTACGTAGGCATGTGTTGGTGATAGAGAGTTGTTCCTTCACTGGTGCTTCTCGAAAACTTGCTTCAGTCTGGAGTGACGTCCAGTCAAGTCTTTGGGTGGTAGCGACATTGAGTTGCTTGTGCAGCGAGTTCAGAATAGCTTGCAGTTGAGGTTCCAAGAATTCGGCTTGAGGACTTGCTGTGTTTAGCATGGCCGAGAGGAATGTGGTTTCGCCATCGAGTTCTGCCGCGGTGAGGCTAAATATAAGCGGATAAATTCTAGCACAACTTGAAGCAAATCTAAAGGCTATTAGGACGCTACGATTTCTTGAGAGACGTCAGAATTTCCTCTTTGTATGTACGTTGTTTTTTAAGCATTTGATACATTGCAGCACAATCCAAAAGATTAACCTCCAAGAGAGCCGATATATGAGCCGCACGGTTTTGAGCAAGAGTTTGATGACAATCAAGATTATTCTTGCTCCGCATGTCGATATTAGGAGATAAGTTAAGGCTAGCATGGCCATTAACGTGATCCCCGTGATGAATACGGTTTTGTACCATTGAGTGAACACGTTGAAAAGATGGGAAAAGTCTGGCCATCTAATTTCTGAAGCATCATTTCTGCTATACCTTGTTAGCCACTTATAAAGCACTGTTTGGAAGGTCGCGGTGTATTTGAGGATTCCTCCAACCTCGAATTTAGTGACAACCTCTCCACACGAAACTGAACATTTCATGTGCATCATTGCTTGCGTAGCGCTTATTCTCATTATCGACTCAATTCCCTGTCTGCCGCACGGAGCCGTGAAACTTGTTGAATCACAAATGATTTCGGCTTCACTTGATCGAGAGGCAAAACACTTGATCTTAGCATAGGCGCCCTTTTCGCAATTGTAGCAGCCAACTAACTCCGTGTTTTCTACCGTGCAAATGTCGCTGTCTACGATGATATCGGTGTACAATTCCTCTTGTAGCGACACAATTACCTCTGTGGAAACCATGTTTCGAACATTTGCGTTAACAGTCCCATACTTTGATTCTTCAAAAGTTATTGATGGTAAGATTACTGGTAGACGTCGCTGAAAATTGTCAAACTGCTGCGATATTGGAGTATCTACGCACTTGCAGTTGGCCTTTGTCTCTGCTGGATTACATGTGCATTCTT